GTGTGCGTGCAGGCGATCTCTGATCGTGTGTGCGCGGGATATTGTGAGTTGGCTTGGAAAGCGTTAATCAAGAGAAAGAGAACAACGGAAAGCAACAACAACCTGCTACTGTGGTCGGACAAGAGAGTTCCACACAGCTCTAAGGTGATTGATTCTGAAGGAAGGGGTTAAATACCATTACATTAGTGTATTATTTCTCATATCATTTCAACCACAACAACAGAACAGTGCCTCATCCACCAGAGCTTGCCGACCAGCTCAAAGGTGCACACAAACACGTTCGTTGCGCAGTTCTCTGCTCGGTCGAAATACTGTTCCATCAGCAGTGAATTATCTGTCCTGAATGTGCCTCGGATTCATTCATTCATTCGTGCAATGAATGTCGGTACTTTTAAATTTTCCGCCGTACTATCATTGCACTCTTCAGAGGAACATAGTCGACGGAGATTCCCCGCTGATAGAAACATGTCAGGCACATCAAGCTAGTACACCCTTTGGAGCGTTTGGTGTGAAAGGGTGACGAATGAATTTGGGATGCCGCCGAAAAGTCGTTATCGAACGTCGCCGAAATCCCTTCAAAGAAGGTAGATAGAATCGTCGTGTGCACTTGCCAAATAACTGAAAAATCGTATCGGCTTCGATGATTGACAGTAGTACAGTTACATTGGGCACAATATACAGCAATTTTCCAACACACCCACGCACTCATCATCTGTTTGGGCCAGTGATGGTATGGGTTGCCTGAATCGAGGGGACGAGTGCGTGTTTGGGGGTCAAGCGCATGTTTTCGTTGTTTGGGCTTGATTGAGTCTTCCCAAGGGCGCCAGCTACGATTCTTGGGACAGTAGTTCAGTTGCACGAACCCGCGACTTAATGTGTAACACCAACAACCCGTATCACGGCTGGCTACACTTGTTGTAAATCTGTTTCGGTTCATCAACAAGTATTGTCATGTATTATTTGTAGCATTCGGTGCCCATTGTGTGCCCCATCGACTGAAAAATCGACGGCTGCATGTATGTCATATCTATCTTTGTACAATCCAAGGCCATCAGAATCAACCGCCAACAACGCATGTTGGCGAGGCATGATACAATTATCCTACATTCTCACCATGAAGTAGTCTTCTTGTACATTGCGTGAAATAAGTGTGAAAGAAGACGAACAACCTCTCTCTCGCTCGGTGACATACTCTTTTGTGCATTCACACACACGTCATCATAAATTGATGGTATGTACATGCTACGTTCCATGCATGATAAATAAAGAGCATCTTAACCTTTCTTCACGTTTGAGAAAAGAAAAGGTGGTCAAGATTCACCCCGTATAATGCTCGGCTATAATTAATTCTGAGAACGCCGCGGAAGACGGATTTCAGGGAGCATAGGATAGAGACCAGCACGGCGACGACAACAGCCGAAAAAGCAAGGCAGCTGACAATGGAGCGATGCCTGAATCAAGGGCCCTCTATCTGGAAACAAACGTCGGAACACCCCTAACAACATATTGGTGAAATTGAGAGCGAAGCATCTGATTGAGAGCGAGATTGCGCGACGCGCTGCAGCCGGACTTTTGCTGAGAGGTGGAGCTTGCTGTGTAGCTTGAATTGGAGGGCCAGCCCGTAGCTACAAGCAGATACCCTGGTCATCCTGTGGGAGCCTCTCGACGTGGAGTTACAGCGGCGAGCAGAAGCTACAGCAGAGCCCACCGCCCGAGGCCATACCGCCCTGCAACAGTTTGAGGCAGGAATAGCCAATCTGGGGAAATCTAGCAACTTGTCTAGCTCCTAGCTGCAGCATCCGATGACGATGACACGCATATTTGCGCCGCTTGTTGGAGGAGCCCGCCCCCTACTTCCCAAGAAATGGCAAGAGGCGTCTGGACCCGAATTTTTTTATTTTTTTGGCTCTCGCTCTCAATTTCATGCTTCGCTCTCAATTTCACAAATATGTTGTTCCCTGGGCTACGCTACAATCTTGGTCGCGGGGGGGGGGATGGGCCTTACGTGTCTCCGGGAGGGGACATGTTGACAAAATCCCCGGGGTTCCGACATTTTCGGGCGGTTTTTCAGCGCGCGCGCGCGGGATCCTCCACAGAGCTAGTTGGTGGATATTTGTGGAACAACACCCCAAGAATACGCGTCAATCTTGGTCGCGAGGTCTATGTAGTGCATAGTGTAGGAAATAGTATAATAACGACAAAGCCTACAAATGAAGAGAATTATGGGTTTTAGAACGCGGCACGAAAGTCTGTTCAATGAAGAGTATATCGGTTTTACTGTGGACACACTAAATCCTATACAATAGGCTGCTGCAAGCGTGCCCCCCAAACCCCCTATATCAGTGCTGCACGTCTGATAAAAAAAATAAGTGTGAGACATAACGCCTCGGGCGGAAAGCCATCCCCTGCTGAAACCCCTCGATATCTTGCGGCGCAACAACTCAAGACCTCGCCTCCCACGGCCGGCTTCATAGGGCGCAGCAGGGCTGGGAGCGTCGATATTCCTGCTGAGATAGGTGAGGTAGCTATCTGTCAACCGTGCAGCTTTTCGGGGCTAGTCCGTAGGGGTAGATTTCCAGTTTTTTCTCAGGGCGTACCACCGTAGGACAACTCGGAAATCTCCGAGTAAGGGTTGGATGTGCTGCAGTCTCTCCACGAGTCTATCGTGTTGCAACGAAATGTCGCCAACATCATGCACTCAGGTACTGTTGACATCTTTCACAAAAGGTTTGGAGCGATTTGATCCGTCAGAAGATAAGCATGTTGAGATCAAAGTTCAATATTGTTGCGCCATGCTTGAAAGATCCGAAACGCCGGTCTGCATACATGCACCGCAGCACAGCAGATTGGGACATACACTACACATGTCAAACTGCTGTGGAAATATCAGAAAGCACGCGGCGGGATACGGTCACTATCTGTCGACCTAAAGGGTCCATGGTTTTTGGTGATCAAGAGAGCGTGGAAGCGACTTTTCTGAACCCCTGACCACATCTAGAGAAGTTGACGTTCGAAACGAACGCATCTTTGTGGATGGTCCGCGGTACTTCGATACTGTATACGAACTAGACCCCCCCCCCTGATTTGTACAGTATTATTTGGATTACTCTCGATACTCCTGAAGCGTTTTGAGCAGTACCCTTCCAGGTACGAATATAGAATTGATTTTATGGTTAAATATGGAGACACACGCACCTGACTTTGGGATGGGATGCCATGAATGTCTGAGTGTCATGGTATATATTATCTATACACTACGGATAACGCCGAGTTAACTACTTCCTTTTTGTGCGCGTTACGATTTCAGGGTATCCTTGGCCTAGGACCTGTCCGTAGAGGGAGGATCGAGCCGACGCGCGATGAGACGTAGTAGGAGTAGCGGGCAGCGGGGGGGGGGGAGCGGCGACAAGTGCCATACAGAGCAGGCCGTGACACCACCTGCGTCTCTTTGCCCTGAACCAAGACGTGGACGGACATGCAGTCCCGCTGAAGGAAAAGCGACACCAAGGAGGACGCGCCACCCACGTAGTCGCCCCCACGAACTCCGTCGAATCCTGTTAATGGTAGCAGCGGGGGGGGGTCTACGGCTACTTGTCAACGGGGAGGCGGCCTGGGCACCGCTTCCCCAGAGGCTACACCCGCAAGTACGCCTGGCGTCGCAACTAAGCGAGTGGCGGGATCCGGCGCGCGTGGCCGAGATCCGGGAAGCCGTACAGGATCCGGTAGGAAACGCAGAAAGAGACGGACGCTGGGGCAGAGGCGGCAAGCCGTCTTTGAGGGGAGGATGGCAGACGAGGAGTACAGTGAGCAGCAAAAGGAGGCGAGGCAACAGGCTAAGGTCCGCAGAGAGCGAGAGATTGCCGAAGCTGAACGTGAGAAGTTGGAGTCTGGAGGCAAGCGGACAGTTGAATTCCGGCGTCGAAGTTGCGGTGGAAAGCTTAGAACAGCTGGCTCTCGCTCCGTCAAGCGGAGTGCAGCGCGAAGACAGTCTGATCCTGGAGTTAGGAATACTCAGATCGGAGCCGAGAAAAAAACACGCAAGAAACCTTGTAGGCGTGCGGAGTGCGGTTGGTTCACAAACAACCCGGGTCTCGAATGCAGCATGTGCCCCTCAGGCGTAGTGCACGCCGTCAGTGACAAGCTATGCTCCGCATGCCATAGGTCGGAGGGCTTAGCTGGCTTCACGCACCTCAGAGGGCCACGGCTTGAACGAGCGACACGGTTGTTTTTGGCCGAGTACCAAGAAGGAGAGGGGGAGCTGCCTCTACCTCTCGTGCGAGGATTTTGTCCCAGCAACGACTGCATTTGCCAACGCCGAGATTGTTTCTACGGTTTTCTTCTCGAGAGGGAAGCAAAGCCGGAGCTCCGAACATGTAGCGTGTGCAAGAGAGGGTACCCTGTGAAGGACCAGAAGAGGTGGTACAGTGTGGACGTCGTGGACGATAACATAACGGAGGGTGGTGGATCAGGACGCACACAAGCTTGGTACTGCCAGGCCTGCAATCAAGCTCGAATCCGGGCCATCGGAGAAGCTACTCAAAAAAAGGTTGCGGCATCGAGCAACTCGGGCCGACCTAAAGCCGATGAACCGGCGCCGGAGAAGCCGTTCAGCCGGGTGCGCGCGTTGGTGATTAAAGCCGTAGCTCGCGGGGACATCCTTTACTGGGAGGATGTGTTCGACTGGCTCTCAGCTGAGCGCGCAAAGGATGGTGACCAAGAACTTGAGCGTAGGAGCGGGCGGAAGGCCGTGCGCCAGATGTTCGAGAGCATCGCGAGCGCTGATGGGAGCCAAGCGCGGGTGGTCAGCAGCGAGGGGGGCTTTGGAGACGGGCGCCAACGACTACTGTGTCTCTTCCCGGTCAACGCTCGGGACGAGGTTATCGCATCCCTCGCCCTACGGGCGCGCCTGGCGAACACGTTCGATGGTCCGAGCACGCCCGCAAACGCCACGTCCGGTGGAAATACGTCCCTGCAGATAGTGAGGCGTCTTCTCGAAGAAGCGAAAGAGGCAGACGCGAGGATGGAGATCGTGCGTGCGGCGGCGGAAATTGTTCGGGCCGATGTCGATCAGCATCCAGATCTCAAGAATGCCCGCATCCGACGGCAAAAGCACAAGTTCTGCGTGGAGTTGGCCGCACCCGTGAAACCAGTGCGAGATGCCCTAGCTGAGATGCCCCCGACATTGGTTGGACTCTTTCAAGGTATGACGAACATGCCCCTGTACCCCGAGATTACCGATATAGGGAGTGAGGATCCCGGCCGGGGCTGGGCGTGGGATGAAACAAAAACAGACGGTCCAACGCCAAGCGCAGCGGGGAGTGTACGGCGAGAGGATGATGGGAGCGATGGAGCCGACGCGCTTGAAAGAGCCGCCTGTGAGCGGCAAGCCCCCACTCGCGATGCCACCCGGGCAGAAGAGGTGGATTCTGCTGGGCCGACTTCCGAGGAAGCTGCCACTTTCATCGAAAAAACCAACCAGGATAGGCGAGGCTTCGCACGGCGTTTGTACATGCTTTGCAAGTGCACGGTGAAGGCGATTTTTGCTGGTCGACACTTGACGGCGGCCATGGTCGACTACGTGGACGTCATCCGAGTGGCCATCGTCAAGCTTGGCAAGAAGTGGACGACAGACACCTGCCCGACTTATAGGTCGATGCGCGAGCAATGCCTGCGGATGAAGTCTGTCGACGGGTACTGGCAAGATGGATTCAAAGACCACATGCCAGAACGAGACTTCAACGGAAAGGGTTGGGGTATCAACCCCAAGGCGAAGGGCAGCAACGCGTCAGCACTCACAGGAGAGAATTGCGTTATGTGGATGTCGGAGCATTCTTAGATCGGTCCCGATGGGAAGATGGTCACGATGACGTGCGGTTGCGACCCGGTGAAGGCCTTAAAGCATAACTGTAGGGGGTGCGGGTGCAAAGGGCGCAAGTGCTCCCTCGCTTGCGGCTGCAGGGGCCGTTGCCATTTGGCTCGCAAGTCTGTACCCGGTGCACCGACCGGACAGGCCACGTACTCCGGTCCTGCCAGTGCTGCACACTCCGCAGTCGTTGCCAGCGCCATGACGGCTCTTCTGGCGTCCCGGAACGCTAGAACGGACGAGGAAGAGGAAGACCCGGACGATCCCGGTTCGGACGATGACGACACCGGCCGTTCGGACAGTGACTCGGACGATTTTCTGGAGCTGGAAGCGGAAGAGTCGGGTGACAGCGACTTAGACTCTAATGAGTCCGACCCTGGGTGGGGCGGTATCGGTGGGGTCAAAGCTCAGGACGATGCAAACTCTGAGGGCGAAGCATGGTTCTGACCGAGTTTCATCATGTGTGTTTGGCCATCCTATCGCTGTTCATGTTTATTCTTGTGTAGACATGTGCGAGTGTTGATGTCGCCTATATTTTGTTCGTCGCCTAGTGATCATGTTGGTGTATCGCGCCGGTGCCATACCGAGCCCACATAATGCGGTCTGCGTATCGTGTTTCAGGTAACAAACTTCCGCGAGATGATTTCGTCCAATGGCGGCTCCCCCGTTCGGCGTTGGTCAGGACTTACTGGCTTCGACCCCCAGCTTGGGTTTCGAGCATGTTTCCGGGTGAAGCGGATATCGGCTGCGGCAACAATGGCGTTGGCGCAGGGTTTAGGCAGTGGCACGGCGGGGTTTCGGGAGTATTGATTATGTCTCCCTGCGCTTATTGTTCCCCGCGTCCGGGAATGTAGCGATTCAAGTGCTTGTATTTTCTCAAGGTTACATGTGCTGTAGATATATAGTGTCGGATCGGATTCCTTTACTCGTCAAGTTTAAAGTTCTTGCGTTGGGCCTGCGGTATCATCATGGTGTGCACAAAGGTACACACACGGCAAACGGCGTTGTTTTTGGAGCTTCACCCTCATTTTTTTTTAGTGTATATTCTCTGCGTTAGTAGGTCCACCTGACGAATTATCTCACGTTCATTAATGTTGTTAGCAAATCTCTTGTTCGTGCGGGCGGGGGAGGGGGGGGAGTCTGAATGGAAACACGCGAACTCACGTAGCGGTACTTCGAATATGTTGTGTTTCGGTCTGTTTCGTTCTTTACTTGTTTTCGAAAGACGCACGACGACACAACTTCAGTAACCAGTCGGATTTCACCGGAGTACAAAAGGGATACATGCCCGTGCGGGCCCTAACGGGGCATCCTGACGGCCGCACCTGCTGCTGCGTGCGTGTGCGCTGTATTTTTCTTACGTGACTTTGTTTGTCTTTCGATGTGTGTGTATGGCGGTGCAACACTACAGGACACTGTAGGAGATAAAGTAACCGTTTTCAGTTCAAATATGGACGCACGCCAGTTTTTTGCAATTACTTCATCTGTACTGCATGTTGCAACAAAGTTCAAATTGCAGTAGAACCGCAAGCCTCACAGCAACCCATCCTGTGTCTCATACCACGAGTAGCGCGGCCAAAGGTAAGCACGCTTGATCCGCGCAATACCTCTTTTCCCAAGCGATAAGTACCTCTCGGAAGCACTTCTAGGCACAATGCTCGATATGTGTACTCCTCGTGTCATTGTTCGTAATTGTGTAAAGTTCGTGTCGATCGGTTAGGTATAGGGCGCGTTCCCGTGTTAAGCTTGCCGCCCGTGCACACCACGGGAGGTTCGGCCGCAGCAGGGGCATGGATCACATTTTTTCGGCAGAATCTCGGAGCCTGCGCCGAGCAGTTCTCGCGCAATAGTCAACGAAATTCCATGAAACCAGCTTTCCTGAATAGCTGCTGGTCTATTTTACTGCTATACGCCGACAAAGGTGGCAGTGCAGACGTCTGATCGCCGGTGGGCTAGCCAACTGCCATTTTTTGTGTTGAGCTTTTTTTTTTTGTATCAGGCGTGCAGCACTGATATTGTACTGCAATCTTGCTTGGCTCGGGGGTGGGGTGGGTGTTTCATGGTTTCCCCATGGAGGGCCCCCTTGCTTGAAGGATGAAACGAGAAAAAAGGAGCGCTGAACCAGATTTGAACTGGTGACCTATTGAGCTGCAATCAATTGCTCTACCCCTGAGCTATCAGCGCAGTCGTGCGGGGGGGTAGTGAGTCGGTTTGTGATTCACAAATTGTGTTTGGGCACATAGATATGATCATGTAGGTATGGTTAGACTACACAGGTGGCCAGTGGGCACGGTTGTACGGGGGCGTTGTGTAACCTCCGGCCAACGGTTGTTACATGGGATAACGTGGGGGGGTTACAGGCCGAGCGGGCATAACGTGCCGGGTAATGAAAGCGGTTATGTGCGGATTGATGTGAAGGAGAAAAGAAAAAAAATTGTGAGCGCTTTCCCCTCCCTTCTGTTGTATTCCACTCTACTACGGTTGGGTTGATCAAGCGATACATCGGCAGAAAACTTTCCTCTCTTTCGAGATGATCAGCGCAGGAAGAATACATAGCACGCGGGGGGAATCGAACCAGCACCCTGTATCTAGAGAACGGTATAATACCGCTACGCTATATATATATGTGTGTGTTGATGAAGCATATATATCACGTCTTACCCGCAAATTCCATGAATAATCTATAGTCTAGAGGTCAGGTGGGGGCGCAAACAATTGTGGCAACACCACCCACGCGGCCGACAAGAAAGAGCACACTTGCTCTGCCGTCCCCCCCACGCAAAAGCAGAAAATCCGAGTAATGGCTTCCATTATCAATCGTTCAATGGCAAGTTTTTGGTCAGCTAACTTCTGATGTTCCACAGCAGCAACATTTAAAGGAATGCCCGCCCGACGGTGGCTTGCCTCCTAGATGTAGTAGATGTAGATTCTGCCGTAGACACTCTTGTCCACGAGCACGTTGAGATGGAACTGTGGTCGGACAAGAGAGTTCCACACAGCTCTAAGGTGATTGATTCTGAAGGAAGGGGTCAAATACCATTACAGCCTTCCAACTTTAGGTCGGCCGGGATGTCTGTCTGCGTGAGTTGGAACTTAGAGTTTTCGAGAATCTGTTGTCCTACAGTCAGTCATGTTCATGTCTGTGCTGACCGGCATAGTGCTTTGTGGTGGCGATGTGCTAGACCCGGAGAGGTTTGTGTTAGCGATGCGAGTGTCCACAACTTGTTGAAGTGCGGAATTACTTGCGGAATTACGGGGAGCAGGCCCGCAATTCTGACATGAAAAAATGCGGCGTAACCTCTCGTGTCGAAATTCTGACGTCTCGTGTCAAAATTCTGGTCTCGTGTCAAAATTTCGTGCTAGTGTCAAAATTCCTGAAACACGTGGGACCCATGTAATTGAACGTGGGAACCCAGGAATGTCTCACTGCTGTGTCCCGGGTCCCGAGGTCGACTCAGCTGCTAGATCTGCCGCAAGGTTCGCAGCGTTCACCTGTTCAAGCACCTCGGTCGTGTCGTTGCTGGTGGAGTCGTTGGTGGACATGCCGCATAGCTGGAGAGCCCACGCAGGAGGTTCCTCGCCGTTGTCGTACCCTTCGTTCAGCTTCTTAGCGAGCCACTTGCCCACACGGGTTTGGGCACCGCACGGCCACCTTCTTGCTCGGGGAGCTCCCCTTCCTCGTCCTCTTCTGACTGCTCGTCAGAAGAAGAAGAGCTACTCGAGGACTCGTCGGCCGTCGACTTGTTCTTGTCGGCGTCCGCCTTGTTCTCGGCTAGAGCAGCAAACGGGTTCCCGTCGTTTGTGTCATCGGGACCCGCGGCGGCTGTGCCGTTTTGCTTCTTTCTCACCTTCTGCCACGCGCCCGCGTCTTGTTCGGAAGACGTGGAGCAGGCGAGGAACCTGAACCTTTAGTTTTCTTCCCAGCAGTGCTATTTAGTGAACCTTGTTTAGGTTTGGTGCTGCTAGGCATGCCTTGTTGTGGCGTGTTCGTGTTCTTCGCGCCTCTTCTGTTGGACCTGGGAGCGAAGAAGACGAGCGAGCTACCGGCATCGATTCGTGTTCCGAATTGATGATGGACGGCTCTTCGTCGAAGCCAATGTAAATGGGGTTCGCTCGGTTTTGTCTAGCATACGTGGCCTGTGGTGATATCGTTCACCACAGAAAACGAGTAGCGATATCGTCCGCCACCAAAACGAGGCAGGTATCTTCTTCGGCTGTTGTGGCGAGGAATGCCACGTGACGTCCCTGTGTATGGATGAGACCAAAGGTAAGGTTGGAGAGTGGGCGGCGCCTTCGTGGACGCTAGCTCTCCCGCACATAAAATCCATACTCCGGAGTTCGCAACAACAGAGGATCCCAGTAACGATTCAGACTCTGGAGCCGTGCTCGACACGAGTCTAAGATCCTACTCTTGTGTACGTGTGTGCATTTGCATACTGATGCCACCATATTGGCCTCCACAAAATACAAGCTGTTTTTGGTGCCCGAGCTAACTTTTTTTTTTTTTTTTCACCATTGGACTCTGTCGTCTGCCCCTCTGGCCCCTATCCTCCACTTACTTCTACCAGCTACAAGCTGGGCCAGCCAAGAAGTCGACGAAATGGTTAGAAGCGATTTCCGAGCCGGTTTTTACGAATTGGAACCTGAAATTGTGATATGTGATTGGAAACAGTCTTACAAACGCCCCCGAGTCAGATGCCGTTTTTTTTTTTTGGAGAGGTATCCCTGTATTCAATAACTGAGAATCCTAGCATAGGGGTTTTTGTGGCATAAAAAAAAAAAAATCGGCATCTCACTCGGGGGCATTTGTAAGACCACTCCTAAATTTCAGGTTCCAATTCGTAAAAACCGGCTCGGAAATAGCAAATTGCGTCATGACCTCGATACCTGGGTGCAGGGGCGGAAATTGTGTAGGAAAATGAAGGCCTTACAGCGCGAGCAAAGGGGCGCGAAAAGGGCCTGATGGCAAGAGGCGCACAGATGCTGACTGTACCCCTTTGGTTGGACAGGTAGGTGTGGGTGCTTATCGATCGTAATGACGTGACACACATACATGCAAGAGGTTGTAATCTGAAGGTAAGCGCTCCAAAAACGCATGACAAATGTTTTGCACAAATCGCACAAAAGTTGACGTTTCTTTGTACATAAAAAAAACACTTTCGTTCGTTGATTGACAGCGGTTAAAAACACCCGCTTATCTAAAAACAACATTCAAACTGACAGACTCAACAACACACACACACAACTTCTCGCACCGGTCAATCTAACAGAAAAAAATGATGCAAACTACAGCTTGAAACCGACTCATTTAACACACACCCCCACCACACCCGTTTATCTCGCAGCAAAAAAATCCAATGTACAAGTACATGCCACCGACTACAATCTACAACGACAATATATATACAGCAACTCACACAACACCCGCTTCTCTCACAGAATAAAACAAGGCATGCACACACAACTCGAACCCCCCCCCCCTCGCCATCGGCCGGCCGACGTTGTTACTGGTCGCCAAGAAAACTAGTTTTCATGTCCAAAATGTTGCGGTGGGCCTTTTGGATCTTGCGCATCTTCTCGATGAACTCCTTGTTCCTGAGGACTACCCCGCGAAGCGCAATCTCGCGGTAAGCCCGGCAGTAGTCTCGTGTTCGCCGGGCAAAGCGCCGCACCCGACCGATTGTCAAGTACTTGTCTATGCACAGCGACTTTTTGATGTTGTCGTGCAAATGCTTCGGGACCTCATCATTGATCTTCCGCCGAAACTTCTGCTTGGAAAACCCCCACGAGTACTCGATCCCTACCCCCGCTACCTCCGGGTGACACTTCGGAGACGACAAAAGAATGTGTCCCCTACTCTCTACCAGGTGCTGCAGGGCTGTCCTCTCATTCTTAAAGTCAGGCAAGGCTTGCAGAACCTTTTCCACGTGCATATCGTCACTGACTCCCGCCCCTGTTGACATGCCGTCCTTCCACCACCCACGCTCCCACAGGTACTGCCTGACCCCTTTCGCTTTCCCCTCGTACCCTTCCTTGACCTTCCCCTTCGCGTTCTTCTTGTCTTTGCGCGGAGCATCCCATTCGAAAAACGGAGGAGGCGCACCTACCGCGAAAGTGCTAGTCTGAGTCTGGCCCACCGTCAGCTTCTGGTCAACACACACTGCCCCCTCGCTGAACTTCGTGCTCCACCTGCCGTTGGCGAAATACATTTTCGCCTCCTCCGGACCCAAGCACTCCTCCGTCATGACCGAATCCCGCAACACCTTTTGCTTCCCCCCATACTTGACGTTCATGTTCGATACATGCAAACCATCCTCTCGCTGCTTCCCATGGCCCGACGAGTGGTCGACCTCGAACACTATTTGCATGTCGGGATCGATGTGCTCCAAGACGTCCATCACGTCTTCGACCTGTTCTTCGAACTGGTCGTAGCCCCAGTACCCATCCTTGCCTTTTCCGTATTCAAGAAACCGGAGTCCAGGGCTTCGCGTCAGGGTTTTTTTGCCGTTCCCCTCCTCATCGCGTTTGGCGTTCACCGCCGCCAGGTCGGCATCCGAAATAGGTAAGCCGAAACCGTGTCTTTCGTCCTGAAAACCAGACACCATTTCCCCCGGCCCCTCCGTCTTTTTCCGCAGTCCGCGCACCCCTCGAATCACCCACTCTTTGCCCTCGCGTGCATACGCCTTGTAGGCACTCTCGTCCTGCCCGATGTGGTGCACCTTCTTGCCGCATCTGCACTTGTTCGGGGGGTGGAAATGCTCGCACTGGGCAGCAGCGGCCTGATCGAAGCGAACGCTGTAGTCCCCACCCTCTGGACCAAGTGCGGCGCGGAGCTTGTCGAAGTTATCGACGGAGCCGTCGTCGCGCAGGAGATCTACGTGGAATTCGATGCAGTCTTGTCCATCGATCTTGCAGTCGTACACCTCTGCGTAGAAATCTCCTTCCGGGCCTCGCGACTTAAGGCTGTCGAGTCGGTCCACCTCCTCCTGCTTGAGAGCGGCTCGTTGCACTCGTACCCACAAGGGTTGACGCAGCGCCATCTTGCGTCTCTTCTCTATGTACTCGCCGCGGTACTCGACTACCTCCTTCTTCTCGTGGGTGTCCGTGTAGAACGACTTGGTGGCCCGCTCGTACCTGCAACCCAACCTTATCATCCACGAGTGCGTCGTGGACATCGAAACCGGAAGGTTCACCTGGTACGCATGGAGCCTGGAAAGATCCTCCTTGTCGTCTTGGAGCAGAGGCCCGTTGATGTACTTGCAGACGTCCTTGATGGTGAAACGCGGTTGTGATATCATCCACGCCAGCAACGCACTCTTCAGATCCTCCTCTGACATGATCCAGTCCGGCTCGTGCGCACCCCGTGCATCCCGCCTGAAACCACCTTCCTTCCGAAAGTCTCTGAGCCACCTCAGGATCGTTGATGGCGCATAAGCCTGCGGACTAGAACCTGCTACCTTTGCCGCCATCCGCAGGAGCGAAGCCTCGTGCCGAACCAACGACGCCTCGTTGAGCAGGTCAAACCGTTCGGCATCGGCTTCCTTCACGGCGGCATCCGTTGCATGCTTGCAGCCGGACAAAACCTCGTTCGCCTTCCGCGTGAGCTCCAGCTGCTTGACGTCGCGCTCCCGCTCCTCTTTCAGCACCTCCAACGATGAGTACGCTTGCTGCCACAACCGGATTATCTGCTTCTCGGCTACTTTTTCCTCCGGCGGTTTTCCCGTGTCCTCGGCCCACGTCCTATCGCCCGCGTTCTCACCGTCCTCCACGGAAGGGAGGGGGAGGGGGAGGAGAAGGCTGTGGGTAGGTGGCCAGTCCGGAGGGCGTCCTGGAGACGCTTGATGTGTTGCTCGTTGGCTGCAACGTTTGCCGTCAAGTCTTTGATCCGGCCGCCGAGGTAGGCTCCACGTTGATCGAAGGCCTTTCGAAGCTTTCTGTCTCTCCTTCTCCAACCCCGCTCTATCGAGCGTTTTTCGCGGCTGGTGAGCATCTGCTGCATCGCAAATTCCGCGCGGGTCGCGTCGGAGCCAGCCCGCCGCTGTCGCTTGAACTGCCGTTCCTGTGGTCGGCCGATGATCCCGAGGCTGTTGAGCGATTTTCCTGCTTGAGCGGCGGTTGGGAGTTTGAAGCACGAGGCAGTGCGGCACATTGTTATTCGTTGTTTTGCACTACAGCAATACTTGCAGCAAGTATTTCAGAGTTGGAGATCACCCAAGTAGTACGTGTTGTACAGAGGTGCAACAACCGGTCAACAATTTGCGAAAGTGTGACGACATCGGCGCATTTTCATGCGGAGTTTTACTTTCAGACCGAAGTACGACACATGATAACACACCCCCTGGGTCGATTTCCACAGCTCGATTACTCCACGACGAAGAGGATGCATGAACAACACGATACGTTTCCGGAGAGCTCTCGACAAGACAGCTTCAACACCGCCGTTTTCGGCGCTGCGACTCGTTCTGCTGGTGATGAATCGAGCTTTCAAAATCCGTCCAGGGGGGTGTGTTATCTTACGTCATATACGGCAGCACATCGTTGCAGCAAACACATCGGGGTGTACAGGTACCATATTGTAGCAAAAAATGTTGTGCGTACTGCTGTAGGCGCCTCTAGTACCAGAACAACAGACGAGTAATGAAGGCAACTCATGTGAACGTGGATATCACGTTGGGCGATTACACTTGTGCGTGCGAAGCATGCCGTCGAAGATTCAAAAATCTCGGCTGACGACCACATCTCCCAAAAAATGTGGTCGTGTACAAATCAACATACGCCGCCATCTCTTTTATAAGAGTGCCACCTACTTGACGTCCCTAAAAGAACATACTCGACGTAAGTCCAGCCTGCGGCATGACTGGCCGCGTGCAGTAGGTACAGCAGCAGTCGCTGGCACGGTGTCACGTGTGCTGCCGTTGCTCCGACCCCAGAAAAAAC